CTTTTTATACTACACACAATCGGACCCAGGGTCTGGGGCTCATTCACCTTGTGCCCTAACACCTGTCACACTGGGCAGGTACATACAGTAGGTGCTCATTAATATTTGTGAAGGCAATTTGGAGCACAGACTTCACAATCTCTTTGGACAGAGGTGATTCTCTGTTCTGTATCATGGTTTCTGATTGGGATGGCAAAAATGGAGCTCAGGGGCAGAGAAAGATGGCTAGAGTACGTTCAATGCCAGCTTTAGCCATGTCTCTGTAAAGATTCACGAAATGAAAATTGTTCTTTCCCCTCAGTGACTGCCTCAAGTCCAGCATTGAGAGAGTGTTCTATGTTTTGGGGTTTCTGGCCCATGCTGCTTTTTTTTAGTTGAGAGAGCTAGAAGTCATCTCCACTAATGCAGTTCTAATTTTTGGCCAGTGAATGTCTACAGAGGTCAAAACCAGCATGGCTTTGAGCTGTCTTTTATTAATGTATTCAATGGCTATTGATTAGGTGCCCTTGATTAGGTGCCAGGCATTGTACGAGGCCCTGAGCACTGGGCATGATCCCTGCCCTCATGGGGGAGTCAGAAATCCATCAAAGTAGAATACATGGAAAAGTTTACCCTGATAAGTTCAGTAAAGGAGAAGGGAAATGTGACATAAGCACCCAAGGAAGTCTGGGAAACTTCCCTGAGGAAGCAGTGATAGAGCTGAGATCTTAATGAAAACCAGAAGGTGACCAGGTAAAAGGATAGTGGGGAGAAAAAAGAAAGGAGACAGTTGTGGTAGGAAGGGTGCATGGGACTGGCTCAGAGAGAGCAAGGGGGGAGCATGCTACAGATCACCCTGAAAGGGTATAGGGAGGCCAGCCATACAGGCCATGGTAGAGATTTTAGTCTTTATCATAATAGGATAATGGGAAATTATTGAAGTATTTTAAACAAGGAGATGACATTGGATTTGTATTTTTAAAAGATCACTCTGACGGTGATGAAAATAACAGATTAGAAGAGTCTCATATGGGGGATCCATGGCAAAATGGACACAGTTAGTGCTATTTAAGATATTTATGGCTGATATTAATTTTAAGGAAACAGTCTTAGCTAGGGCTCAATTTAGGAACATATGCCAAATGTGAAAATTTATGACCAACTGAATTTTCCTTTTTTTCTCCTATGTAGGCAATTAATTGAAGGAACAGATGTTCTTCAAAAACTAGAATTAGTTCCAACACAGAATGAAAGACCAACACAACAATGTATGATTATTGGCAGTGGAGAGCTTTATTTTTGATTTTCATTCAATATTTTCTGATAACTTATGTTTATGTGTCTGATCAACTGTTTCTAGATTTAATTAAACAGTGCTCGATAAAATTTAATTTGAAAGTTGTTGTAGACACTAGAGTTGTAAGCTCTCTTCCGACCCTAAGAAGGTGATTCTCTGAGTAAATTTATAAAATCAATGACAATGTTATTAATTTTGCATTTCAATTTCATTAGTAAAATGGGTGTACCTCATCACAGTGGTTTGAGGATTAATTCAGATATGTGAAGACACTTTTAATGATGCAGATGTTCAATATAGTTTCCCTTCTGGAATGTCAATCCACAAAAACCAGGGAAGGTACTGTTTCAAGCTAGGGTCAGTTGATGCCCTGTAGGCTCAGGTGAAACTTACCACCCTCGTAACTTCCTAGAAGAATGAAAATTGGGGGTATTACCTAGATTTAGGGTCATCTGCAGAAATAACCTTTCTATCAGAGAAAACCATCTATATGGCAGGACAAACATAACTACAGACTTTTCTTTTACTTTAGCAAGCATCAGAAATGCTTGAGCCTATTGAAACACTTTGCCCAAGTTTCTGATTCAGCAGGTTTGGAAAATTTGTATCTTTAACACATTGCAGGTGATGCTGATGCTGTTGGTCTGACAGCACACATGGGATGTATTAAAGACAGATCCACAAGTGACTTGTGGCATGCAGGTATGTGGAAGAAAGAAAAAAAAACCTGTAAAATATTTAAGTGTAACAACAGAAAAGAATGAGGAAAATTAATGAGACAAAAATTGTGACTTGGTGCAGGGTCTAAGAGCTCCTGGACAGGAATTGTCACCACTGGCTGCTGGAATGAAAACATGGCAAAGGCTTCCTTCTGTTTCCTAGAGGATTAAGTTATAATGAAAAAAGTTATAGCAGACCTAACAAAAATAAATGTGACTCAGGTACCAGCCTGGAGAACATGGGCTGGGTTCCATGACAGTAATACATCCAGGAATTTTGTGTTGTTTGCATCCTGACCTTACATTTGAAAAACAAAAAATCAAGCAAACAAAAAAGCTTTGCTAAATATGTTACTTGATGTAATTTTGTAACTCCACAAGTTAAAGTGCAGTCTTCTTAAACTTTAATAGGTATATACATAAGCATATCATCTGAGAATCTCATTAAAATGCAGATTGTGTTTCAGAAGGTCTGAGGCAAAGTCAGATTTCACAGTTCTAACAAATTTTCAAGTGGTATGAATGATATTGAACCACACTTTGAAAAACAAGAAGGCAGTGATTTTCAATCTATATTGCACCTTAGAAACACCTGGGGAGCTTTTACTACTCTTGATGCTCACTCAGGTACTACTCCAGGCTAATTAAGCCAGGACCCAAGCAGTAATCTGCCTCATGGTTGAGAGTAATTGATCTGAAGTGTAACGCTCTCCTATGACACCCAGTTATCAAAGAAATACCCAAAGTGGAGAACCTCCTAAAGAGGTTCACAGCTATCTCTAGAAAATCTCATCAATCCTAATCACAGTTAATAGTAAGAATCTGACTCTACAGTTTATCTTACTATAAATCTGATTACAATTCTCTGTGGAAATTTATTTAAATATTACATAAGGTTTAATATATGGCGGTAAAACTGTATTACAAATGCCAGTTCTTGCACTGGATAGTGAAAATGACTTTGGAAGTATTCCTTGATCTAGGTCAACAGATGACATGTGAAAGAAAGTAAGCTGACACTTCTAACCTTAAAGTGAAATATTCCCTTAAAAAAGGACTAACAAAAATCTCTAGACTAGAGTGAACATCCGGGTGATAAATGTAAAACAGTGGTATCCACAGTGGGGTGTGTTCATTCGAGGGCATAAACAAGTTATGAGATGTAGGAAGAAAATAGAATATTTTTAACTTAAAAGTTGAAAAGTGCCTTCATTGGGTTGGGTGTGAGATGGTCATATGTTAAATATGGTGTGAGGGCATCCTGAGAGAACAGCAGACTGCTCATTTTTCTGAAGACTGATGGAACCTCACTTAACTATTTGACTGTACTTTCATGCTTCTGGCCAGATTACATTGGTCAAAAATCACAAGTTTCTTGTTTACATCCGAGCAGATCTTCAGTTTGAGTAATCAATGGAACAAATGTTCACAGCTATGAGGGTACAGCAGGGCCTCCCTGCTGGCGCCAAGTGGTTAAGCGCTGCACTATGAAGCAATCTGCAGCCTCTGCAGCACCAGTTCCATCCCCTACCGGCCAGGGAGAAACCCACATGGCGAGGGAGACCTTTCCTGTCTCTCCCGCTGCTCTCCTCAGCAGTGTATTACAGTCAATATGCCTATTCTGTTCCCCACTCTGTCTCTGGTGAATCCTCTCACCCCTGCATCTCTGGCCTGTACCCCAGCTCTTGTATGCATAAATAAATCTTTTTTTTTTTTTTTTTAAAAGGAGGGTACAGCAGGATCCCATTGGCTTATTTTAGGGAGGAATAAAAGCTTACAAGTTTAGGCCAAAAAAAAAAAAGGAAAGCACTTCCAGTTTAGGGAAAAAACAAAACACCGCCACCAAGAAAAAAAACCCAAGTCATCTTGTTTTGGTGTTCTCATTGCCAAAGTAGATTATTCGTGTTATTTTATTGGGGTAAATGTGCATATTTAAATTTATATAGCAGGGACAAGAGCCGAAAGCGGATTAAATACAGCCTTTATCATCTAACCCTTACCACTCCATATAACCCGGCGGCACTTGTGAATGCTTCTGTGAGCTTGGACATTAGATGGCGCTCGCTCTTAGGAAAAGCCTGAACGGGGACAGACCAGTCACTAGCGTTCAGAAATCCAGTTCTGAAGCCCAGCAACTGTGTTTCGGTGAAGTCGCCTTTCTGGTTCCGGGGGTCCTCGCGCGTAAAGCCAGGGGTGGTTACGGAACAGATGACTTTCCACTGCAAACCGTCAATTTTGAATATAGTGGTGACGCTGACTGGCAGTGGCTGCCGCTGGCTGGAAGAGCGAACAATTCGGAGGAGTCAGGCTAGGAAAGTGTGACAGGTCGAGGGTGTGCGGCTGCGGCCGGAAGGCAGGAGGGTGACTGCGGAGCCCCAGCCCTGCACAAGACGCGGGCGGCAGAGCAGCAACCCGCTCACCACCCTGAGTCTCCCTTTCTCTGGGGAGCCCTGTCCAAGTTACTGCCAGAAAACTCGCTTTTCAAGGGGAACATTTCGCGCGGGTCATAGTAAGGCCAAACACACCTTGGGACACTTCAGGATAAAGCACTCGGGCCAGCGGGGCAGCACCCCACAAACTAAACACGCCCAGGCCCTACGTGCAAGCACAGCAGCAACTTCCGCCCGCGGGGCTCGGCCCGGGGGCGGGCCCGGGAGGTCACGTGGGGCGGCTCATTCCAGCCGGCGGGGCGCTCCGGGGGACGCCGTGCGCCACGTCACGCAGGTGGTCCCATCAAGCCCGCCCTGGAGCAGGAAAAAGAAAAGCCGGCTGCGTCCCGTGTGGCCACCCGAGGGCAATATAGTTTCCTGTAGCGGGCCAGCTTCCTCCTCGAGCTAAGTGGCTTGGGAGACGGCCTCCAGGGCGTCCGCTCGACGCCGCCGCTCCCCCTCGGGTAGGCGCCCCGTTGGTCTCGCCCTCGCCCCGCCCCCGCGCGGCCCGGGGCCCTCACGTGACCGGCGCGCTCCCGACGGGGGAGCGGAGTCTCGGAGGCGGCGCCGCAGGGGCCAGAGGGAGTGACGGAGCGTCGTGCGCCGCAGCTTTCTCCGGGGTACCCGCGCCGAGGCCGCGATGTCGGGGCACTCTCGCCCGCTGCTCTGGGCGGCCGCCTGCCTGGCCGCACTCTGTGTGCTGACCGCGGCTCAGAGCACCGCCGTGACCCCGAACACGACTCAGCCTGCGAGTTCAGAACCTACCAAGCCGACCCCCACGGCGGCGCCCACCCCCTCGGCGGCGCCGACCCCCACGGCGGCGCCGACCCCCGCGGCGGTCACCACCCCGGTACCAGGTGGGCGCCGCGCCAACGGGCACCCCGCGCCCCCGGAGGGCCGAGCCGCCCTCCCTGCTCGCGGGGCGCGCGGGGCCGGGGCCGGGGCCGGGGCGGGCCGCGCTCCGGCAACATGGCGGCTCGTGGCGAGGCCTGAGGGAGCCCGCAGCAGGGCGGGTGGGAGCGCCCGGGTGGGAAGGGGCGGCCGAGCGGGGGTGGCCATTTCCGACCCCAGAGTGTCCCGCGCTGAGGGGCTTCTTAAAGGTTCCTCGTGAGCCCCAGCCTCGCCTTCGACTGGGGAGAGAGGCGGGACGTGGCGCTCTCCTCGGTGGAGGCTGCTGTGGGACTGACGGCGGGGCGAGGCGACGCGCCTCCGAAGTTGGCCGAGAGGTTGGACTCCTCTCGGGGGCCGGCGGGGTGTCCACCCGGCTCCTCGCTGCGGAGGGAGGCTTCTCCGCAGGTTGGCGAGAGAGGGGGCGAAAGAAACTTAAAGACATTGATGTTCGTTAGTGTCTCAGGTTCAGCTCTGAGAAAATAAGTCGCCTGAGATTTGATGACATTTCGCGCGTAGGTATGGGGTAATACCTGAGGCTTGACAATGAATGAGTTAAAACTGCACGCCATGCTCTGTGCAAAGGAAGAAAAGCGCTCGTTAGTGTCCCTGGTGCTTCGCCTTTCAGAGTGCACGGAGGTGATGAAACTTAGGAGAGTAGATGGAGAGAAAGTAACTGCCGGGACTGTGTGTTTAGTAGGTTGCGAAGCTGGGGTTAGGACCCAGGTTTGTCGATTTTCTAAAACCTGATCAAGGGCACGCCTTTCCTTAAGCTTAAGCTCTGCGGTTGGTTTGGAGATTGGTGGAGGCACACACCACATCTTAAAACAGAATTTGGCAATGCCCGGACAACTCAAAAGGCGCAGGGGGCGGGGGGGGGGGGGGGAGGGGGGGTGGGGACCAGGAAGGAGGGGTAAATTTAATAAGGTGAAGAAACCCTAGATATTTAAATCTGCCATCTAGTGTGACTGGTATTCTCATTAATATTGGGTAAGAAGTAACTTGGCATCTTCATAGAATTGCTGAGTGCAAGGATTTTTGCCTTGGCAGTTTTTTGTTCAGCTTGGTCATAATGTTTTGCATCCCTAGTGTCTGTATTTTAAAGAGAACGTTTGGAATATTAAGTTAATTGCCTTTGTACCATTGAAATGTGTGCAAAGGAGATGGTTTGTTTTCTGTAATAGTTGGATAAGCTGTAGTCTGAAAGGCATCGAGTTTAGTTCATTGTATACAGCACTCACCGTGTTTTCCAGATATTCTTCGCCAAGCACAAAAGATTTTAAACAGCGTTTTCATCAGTATGCAAATCCCTGAAGAACTTATTTTTACTTTGTGCCTTCCCCAACCCCAAGGGTACCATACGTGTCCCAGTTTCTCATAAGTATTAATGGTAAATATCGAAAGCAGTGTCTATGTGCAGAATTATTTTTTAGAACTGTATTCTCATTGGAAAGCCAATGAGAATTGTTGTTCAAGATATTTAAGTTCTAGGAAAATGGGTAGAACCCAATTCTGTAGTTCTTTTGTTCTTCCAGACACGAAATTGCAATTATCCTTCCTTGAGGTCTTGTTTTTTGGGCCATTAAATTATTGAGAAACACCTTGCTAACCTGATAAATTATGTGTTTATGAGTGTAGCCCCCTTTAGCTATGTTGTTTTTGAACCCAGGAAAGAGTGGATTATTTATAAATTGGGAATCTCGGGGTTTTTTTTTTTTTTTTTCAGAATGGGCATCACCATAGCTTGGGTTCAACTTGTAATGAATTCTTATTACAATTAACAATTCCAGTGTCGCATTGATGTTTGGGACAGTCCTATCCCTGTGTGTAATGTTGGCCATATAACATAGACTTTTCCCAATATTTATATTTTTTAGGGATGCTTTCAAAATGCCTCAATAAATCTTGAATGTCTGAAGTAGCCCTGTAAAAAGTTTTTAGATACCATGATGCAGCGAACATTCCCACTAGCTTGTTGTCCTCTCCCCATCTTTCTCTTAGGTTAACTTCAGACTTTTTTTTTTTTTTTTAATAGAGGCATGTTTTATTTATTTATTTTTTTGTTTGTTTTTGTTTATACATGCACTGGGTAAAGTCAGAAGCACGGGAGGGTGAGAAAATTCACCAGAGCCAGATCGGGGAGCAGAGTAGGCAGAAGGACCGAAGTACACTGCTGAGGGGAGCAGCGGGAGGCAGGAGAGGTCTGCGCCCCATGTGGGACCCTCCTCAGGTGGCCGGGAGCAGCAGGGGATCAAACTGGCGCTGCAGAGGCTGTGGGCAGCTTCGCAACCCAGCGCTCAACCGCTGCGCCACCGGGGAGGCCCTAACTTCAGATTTAAGTCACTTATAATGATTGGAATCTCTTAAGTTGATTTTTAAGGTGGGGGATAGTTAAAAAGCAACATAAGCATGAGATCTACTCTCTTAACCAATTTTTAAGTGTATAACATTGTAAACAATACATACAGTGTTATATAGGAACTGTCTAGAACTTTTTGATCTTGCATGAAACTTTATACTTATTGAACACCATTCGCCAATCCCCCCCACCCCCTCCAGGCTCCTGGAGGCAGCCACCATTCTATTTTCTGCTTCTGAGTTTAACTATTTTAGATACACCTCATGCAAGTGGAATCATGCAGTATTTGTTCTTCCGTGACTGGCTAATTTCACCAAGCATGATGGTCTCAAGATTCATGCCCCTTTAGCATATGACAGAATTTCCCTGAATAATGTTACATTGTGCGTGTGTGTAACATTTTCTTTATCTTTTCATCTGTTGATAATAAAGAAAAACTCTTGACTATAAAGTTTTCCCATTTCTCTGAATTAGCAATTCTGATACTGTATGTGTAATGCTTACTGTTTCAAAAAATAGTATAAAGTGAGATACCAGTTAATTGATATAAATTTTAATCTCCACCAGAACCCTGTGAAAGCCACAGCTGTGTTTCCTGTGTTAATGCTAGCCGTGATAATACTTCCTGCTTTTGGATAGAATGTAAAACAGGTAAGAAACTTTGGGATTGCTTCAATTTTGGGAATACAAAACTGTTTCATGTAACATTTTGAAATATACTGTAGGGTATTCCTGAACCTTGAAAATTATGTCGAACATTAAGTATAGTGTATACTGTTTATTTTGCAGATCAGATACTTTTCTGTTAAACTGCCAATCGATTACTTAACAGTCCTCCAATAATCTTTTTGTCTTGCATTTCCCTGCTCCTGTAATTTCTTAGACTTGGTAATTTAGGCTCAGTAGTCTTTAAAGGAAGAGAAGTTGTAAACCTTTTTAAGGTTGGGTGTGCCAAAACACTGAAATTAGATGTGAGAGAGAAAGTTGTAAAATTTTGCCCTAAAAACTGTTCCCCAGAAGATCTATAGAGATACAGTATAGATATTCATTGGACATTTAGATGAGGGAGAAGAATGATGTGGGGAGAAGGTTGCTTAGTCTGTGCTTTTGTTAAGCTTTAAATTTACCATTAATTTGATGGAGGAATAAAGAGTTAAATAAACATATTTTGAAATAACTGTAAGGTTTTTCTTAAAACCGTGGGGTTGCAGCGTAGATTTCCTAACGAAGGTGGTTACAAACTAGGTCATAAAATGGAATTGAATAGTGCACCCCTACCCCCCTCTGCACATTGTATGACAATTACAGGTTTTGTCAAGTTTTGGAGATTGAATGCCTTGCTTTGGCATATGTTGAGGAAAGCTCTCCCTTCCTCTTGCTCTAAGTCTTCCCATCTTGGCAAGCTGATGCAGAAAGTATGGAATACTAATGTATGAGATCTAGAACAGAAGTCCTACTGCTGCAGGGCATCTCCCCTATTTACCAAGCCTTTATTAGATCCTGACTACTTCTCCCTGCGGACTCAGCCCTCTTATGGATTCTCCAAGACTTCTTTGATTGTACCATAGTTGTATCACAATGCTGAGGTGATCTCAGTGTTTCAGATTTATCTGATACTGTATGTATTCAGGTGGAATTTAGAAGGATATTTTGGGAAAGCCTGTGTCATAGTTTTAAAACAGGAAAAGAAAAATAACAGTATTTTGTTAATATTGGACTTCTGAGGTGTTTATACTGGAATTTGATTTTTGGATGCTATTCTGGAGCTTTAACAGTCAAAAATAATATAAGTGAATGATTGGTGTCACTTGTCTTTTTTATTTTTCCGCAGCAGAGAAAAGCCACTGTTCACAAAATTCATCGAAAGTTGGTGATTGCCAGTTACTAAACAGTACAGACCAGTGTTCTGGTAAGTATCCACCCTGGCTTCTGGGCACAATGGTCACAAAGAGGTGAGAAGATAATTGCTTCAGTTGCCCTGATTTAGTATTTGGTTTGAAACGTTCCTATGAATTTAATCTTGTTAAAAATGTAGATACGAATAGCATATTCATATTCATTGATTTGGCTATCCTATGGAATATTATAAATGCAGATGCTTCCTTTTTTTTTTTTTTGTTAAAATTTGTAAAAATTTCTCTAAGAACTCATTACAGTCAGTATAGTTTAGACCCTTTTTTTTTTTTTTTTTGGCTAATCTTATTATGGCATGTTCCTGGTTATTTACTGGTGATTTGCATGGTTTCTATCATAATGCTGTGGTTAAATGAGTCTTCCTTGTATTCATTTGTTTCTGTACTTTGATTACTCTTTATTCTTTACTATGCTAGAAATTGCTAAATTTCTAGATGAATTGGATAAGTAATTCTATTTATTTGGTAGTAATCAGAATTTATTTCAGTTATGAAGGCCGATAAACTCCAAATTACAGTAGCTTAAACAATAGACAGATTTGCTTTGCTTTCATATGAAGGAAATCTGGGCTTGAGTGTATCTGGAGAGATAGAATAGTAGCACTAGAACCATTAAGGTTCTAGGTTTTTACTGTTACTCCTAAAAATGGCTTTGCCCTTACTCTCCAAGGTTGTTGTTCACATTTCAACCATCACATTGATATCCTGCCAGCAGGAAGAGGATGGGATAGAGGCTTATCTTACTGATACTTCTTGGAAGTTGCACATGGGTACCTGACCACAGGAGAGGCTAAGTGTCTTTCCTGAGGAGAAAGGAAGTGTTGCTAAAAATTGGTGCTTCTGTCTAAAGAAGGGGAGATGGATACTGGATGACAGTCTCTTCTACAGGTGGTACTTAAATGTGAAAATTGAGACGTGATACTCAAATGAATGTAGGCTGGGAAATAGTGTGTATAGATTAGGAAAATTTTAGACAATTTTGACTTACATGTGGGTTTTTTCCTTTTTTTAGTAGTGCCTACTCCTCCATTGCCAACCCATTCTACAGGTAATACAAGATAAGTTACTCTTTTTCCTTCCTTTCAGGCTCTGTTGATGGGCAGTTTTTTTTATTTATTTGATACCTATAAGTTGATACTTTAAAGATTAGTAGACTTGGACCACAGTTATTGCATTAACATGTAGTGTTTGTGATAGTGACACATAACACTAGTTTTTCACATTTATTGAATCTGCAAATTTGCCATAGTTTTTTATGTTAAGTCTGCAAGCCACTTTTTATGGATTTTGTGGAAATCTTGGGAAATACAGAAGCCTAATAAAGGAAATTAAAATTTCTTATAATCCCCATCACCAAAATGTTTTCAGTAAGTTCTTTTAGTTTTTTTATGTTGTATCAAAATAAGTGAACTACCTATAAAGTTGGGTGAGATGTCCATGCACATTTGAATTGCTTTCCCTATTACTGCAAGCGTTGTTGTACACACTTTTCCAGAGCAAAGGGAAACAATTTCCCTAAAACCACTGTGGGTTTTAGAGAAATTTTAATTTCTTCCCCCTAAGTCACTCTGATATTTCTCCCTTGATTGCTTCACACTGGATTCTCCTGTGAACTGCCATAAGTCTCATGTTTTACCTCTCTTTGGTTCTGTTAAATGATAGGAAGTCTACAACTTAACTTGCAGAAAAAATAGTTGAGTAGCAATTAGTGGTTGAAAAACATAACTTTATATGGTCTCTCTTTCCATAGTTACTGATGAAGAGAGCAAGTGAGAAATTAAGGGACTATTAAGGAAGTGATCCAAAGTAATCTGTTTTATATAGAAGCTGTGGTGGGCTGAGTAAGAGAGTTTGGCTTTTTGGTCACTACAAGTAATATAAATCTTACAAATACTTCATAGAATAATTGAATTGTGTCAAACATATAGTGGAAAATGTTCATAATATTAATTAGAAAACTGTAGTAAGTACTTCTAGTACAGTTTTATTTTTGTTATATATGCACTTAGAGAAATGGCAATTAGGAAGTAACATGTTACTCTGAGTGACAGAATTACTTGTCTATGGTACTTTTTAAATTTGGTGTCACCAGTAGACTTATCTGTGAATTATAGTACATCAATAGCAGTATAACCCCTTAGTGTTTGTTCAAAACAAAATGTTTTGCCTGTTTGCAAAAAAAAAAATGGATTTTACCATGTTATGAGGGTAGGTAGTGAGAACCAAGTAGCAAATTTGAGAATTTTTTTCTTTAACATTTTCAGATAAAATCAGTAATTGTGATTTAAGACTGAAAGTTTGACATGTTTAATTTGTGAAGTGTATTTTTTTGTGTGTGGTTACACAGAAAGTGTATAAGCAACAAAAACTGAAGCATGTTATGAGTCTTAAAATAATCATACCCTCTAATTTAGGAGAATCAATCCTATGCAAGATGAGATCAGATATTTCCCTGTAAAATGTTAATAGCATGGAGAAATGAGAGAGGACCTAAGTGTCCATCCAGGAGTGGGAGGGAAAAAATGTATATAACAATGCTCCCTAGCAAGAGAGAAAAGCATACAAATGTGCCTGAGCATATCCATCAGTATGAAGATGTAGTCTGTTAGTATCTATTAGCAGTGTCAATGCTAACACAGTCCCTCAATGTGGCTGTAGCTTTTTTAGAGAGGTATTATCAGATGATTATTTAAACTCATGTAGGATGGCAGACTAGAGCTAACCTCTGGGCTGTTATATGTTGAAATCACTGTGTCACTTGGACACACATTCTTAGAAATGATTGGAACATAACCATGTGCTTTCATTTATGTGTTATCTTTGGCTGCTTTTGCACTTTACAGTGCAGAAATCCTGAAATAATTTACAGTCTGCTCCTTTAAGAAAAGTTGTCAACTCCTGAAGTGAAGATAAATCTTAATACCTATATAACACATACTGAGTACCCTTGCCTTTTTTTTTTACCATGGCTTTTAAAGTTAATAGTTTTTGTCTTAGAAGATAGATTATTAAAAGCAATTGTAGTTTTCCAAGTAAAAATCAAAATCAACAAGCAACTATAAACCAGAGACACACTACTAGGAGGGGGTGGGGGGGAGAGGAAGGATTGGGTTCAGAATAAGGGGCGGGGGTGCAATTATATGGGGACTATAACCAAAATGAAAATGCATACATTATGCAAAAATGAAAAATGATGTAAGAATTATATAAAATAAAATATTTTTTAAAAAAGCAATTGTAGTTTCCCCCACTTTTTGCAGACTTCATCCAGATGTATACATAGATTTTATACTTAACTATACATAGATGTTAACATAGTTTTATTATTGCTTAATGTTTAAAAATGCATATAAAAGCTAGTGAATGTCAGTGAATTGTTAACTGAAGTGTGGCCTTTATTCTCTAAAATATTGAAAACTTAATTGAAGTTGATAGCATTATTTTAAAATAATGGATGCAAGAGAACTGAAAAGAGTAGAAACCTAAGGTTTTTAATACGTTGTTTATATTTCAGCTAAAACCACAACTCTGCCTTCCCCTTCTACAACTTCTCCCATAACTACTACATCAGGTAATTGAAAATTTGTTTTATGTATCATTGATTTAGGTTATGTATACAAAATTGCCTTTTACTCTTTCCACCATTTTCCAGTTTTATTCATAAATGTTTGTGAGCTGAAACTCATCTCTTCCATTTAGAGGACCAAGATAGTAGGATGTTAAAGCAATAAATGATAAATTTACTGAGAGGCCTCTTTTAATCACATTTGGCATGACATGTTAGAACTAAGTGTTAAATGTTTTCCAAAACCCTTTAAATACAACCTGTGGTAAAATTTAGTTACTTATGACTTAAAAATTAAATATTGATTGCTATTAGGCAATTGTGTGTAGTATTAGAACATGACAATTTGATCACTAAGAAATGTATACTTCAACCATATTTTTAATCATTTTTACATTCTTTTATAATTCTTAAAAGTGCATTTGTGAAAATTAACTTTTTTATTAATGATTTGACAAAGTATAAATTATTTTTTGGTTATACCACAGGACACCATAGGTACACAGGGTTAGTAAAGCTCTCTCGAACCATATTTGATTCTGATGAAATTTTTTTATTGCCTTCATTTTTATGCTTTCAGTGAAATCATTTGTACAACTACAGAATAGTTGCAATTAATTTTAAAGCTGGCCAACTTATATAGCTTTTAGAACCAGTGTTTATTTCATAATCTAAGAAAAAGCAAATTTGTGAAATGACGTAAAGTTCATGGTTCCACTTGAAGTGTTATTACTCCCTGGAAAGGAATTTGTTTTGTTTCCTCTTGAAATCTTATACTCCCTGGAAATAAACTCAAATTTTTGTGTTATTTTCCTTACAGCTTGGTAATATTTTCTCATAATGTAAAATTTAGAAAGGCAGACTCAAGATATCTTAATTAAGAAAGAGTTTTTTTGCTTGTTGGAATTATACATGCAGGTACTTAAGGTTATTTTAATATTTAAAAAAAAACCTGCAAACTGCAACCACATTTTTATTTACCTTACATGATACTTAGTAAAATTCATCCTGTATGTATTTTAAAAACAAATGTTAATATTTACTCAAAAATAATACACGATCTGAAGAAAGTGCAAATGTTTTGAGTACTTGACATATTCTTAGGGCATAATTTATATATTAGGAGAATCTTTTTCTGTCATTTTTGTAGTTGAAGTTGTGTTAGCAGCACTAACCACTTTGTTATCTCTGGATGGAATGAAGAATAGGATTGATAAATGATTACTTTCCTCAGTTTGGGGTAAATTCTGAAGACATGACTCAAAATACTGTATAAAATTTAACACATGGCAAAAATGGAAGCTTAGGTGGATCGAAATCACAATAGCAGACCATGAGACTTAAACGGTATTTTTATTGTCTCTATCTCATTTAACAGGTACAGCTAATACCACTTTAACTCCACAACCTATGCGGAAATCTACCTTTGATGCAGCCAGTTTCATTGGAGGAATTGTCCTTGTGTTGGGACTGCAGGCTGTAATTTTCTTTCTCTATAAATTCTGCAAATCTAAAGAACGAAACTATCACACTCTGTAAACAGACTAATTAAATTAGCAAGAACGGACGTGTAACTCACTGAAACCAAAATATTATCTCAAGATGTCCCACATGGAAGACGATATTCCAGGATCTTTAAATTTCCAAAGGATGCATATAGGATATTTGGAGCATTGTCTTTGAGGAAGAATCTGTTAAATCATTTTGCTCAACAGGAATATTTAAGATATTCTGCATGAATCCTTGTGGCTGTCTTCTTTTATTTTAAATGGCTGCTGCTGTGGGATTATGTTCTCTTCTTGACATGCCAAATGTAACTTTCTGTAAGTGATGGAAAATATTGTTCTGCACAGGCAACCTCATGACTCTTCTGGCAGTTTAAATTTAGTCCTTTTAAATCTTGAAAGCTGCATTATTTTTACCCTAACTCAGGATGTAGTTTAGTGACCAGAACTGAGAAGAAAGTGCCAAATGAGCTTCAATCAGGTGGATTTTTGGCTATCATTTCAAAAGTGGAATAAATTTATAAATTTAGTATCCTTAGAGTAAACTGTATCCTTAGAGTAAAAATTTGTGATTGATAATAATTATTTTTTTTCTACATTAGAAATAAGAGGCCACATAGGGAATTACATTCCAGATTTAAAGAAATGAATGGAAAGGATACAGGCATTAAAGTATAGTAGGTTATTGCTCGTACTTGTAAAGCACCTTATATCATTGAGAAAATAAAGAACAGTGCCTTAAAAGACAGAATGAAAGGTAGGCTGTAACTTAAAATGACTGAGGCTAGAAGTTGGTCTGAGAATGTAACTTGATGTGAGCAGTAGTGAATCTGCTTTTAGGTACCATGCTGTTAGTATTCATTTGAAAACTTACTTTATCTCAGAGCTGAGTAACTTAAGCTAAAGGGTATTATACAAAATTGAAAGCCGCCTTTCTTATAGTGAACTTCCCAGTATTTTTCATATGGCTGTTAAATAATAAAGATAAAATTGATTTATATTTTCCTTTGTGCTTCAAAAAAAGTATCCTAACACTATTGTACCTTGAAGGACTTCACCAAGCTTTCTTGAAAAAATAACTTCTTTGTGAGGTAAGAAAATAAGTTATTTTGGAATGTTTTCCTTGACTTTTTGGGACAGTCATTTTTTAAGTTTTGAGACCACAGATGTGACTAGTGTAATTTCAGAAAATCAAAGGATTTTTTTTGGCTTATCAGATAACTATAGATTTTTAATGATTGCCTTGAACGGACGGATTGTGCTTTTGCTTTTTCTTCCCCCTTTTTCTTAGTTTCAGTTCCTGTAATAAGCATGCATACTTTTATTTAGTTTGTGAAGCACTACTTTTTTTTGGTTTTAGAGGTATATTTCTCCCTTGTCTTTGACACATTGGATTAGTTTAGAGGCTTAAATTTGTTTAAAGTGAAGTTTTGTTTTTCTAGTTCATGTACGTTTTATGTTTTAGTTTCTTTAGCCAATAGTGGCTGAGTGTAGCACTTGGTTTTCAATATTTTATAGTAGGATAGAACAAATTGCTTTGGTCCATTTCATAAACAAATTCCTTGCATTTAGATAATTATATTAAAGGCTCTTAAAAATGAAGATTTACTCTTTCTTTATTACTTGCTGATACAGCTGAAGTTTGTTTTACTTGCACATTTGTACATATACCTAATGTTTTCAAGTGCCTTAATTGTTTAAAAATCTCTGGCTTCAAAGGTTTTTGGGGAAAGGTAGGTTTACCTCACAGTTTTGTGTTTTCATTTCTAGTAATAATCTAGGTACCTCACAAAAAACTTTATTACGGTGCCATGGCTATTAGTTTTTAGTGAGTGCTATAAAATGTAAGATTCATTTGAAAATAATTTCCATTTCTCGCAAAAGTGGCAACAATTAGCTACAGTGGTAATATCTGTCATTTGCCTAAATATGAATACCTTGCCACACATCAGTGTCAGCACATAAACTATTTTCATGAGCTGATGAAGCCTCTCATCTGTAATTTTGAATACTGATCTAACAAAATCATAAGAAATTAGTTTTTGCAAGTCTACAGAAGAGCTCTTACAACAGAACTTACAGCCGTTCCCTCCACCCCCTTAACTTTAGCAGTTATCTTGAGCCATTAATAAATAATTTTTGGGTTTTTTAAATCCAGAAGGTATATAGAAACCTCTTCAGATTTTTCATCTGATATGTTCATGCAGATGTAGTTCTATCAGAAATACTTGTTTTACTTTACAGATATTTGTTGCACAGACACTGCTGTATGTAGAAATTTCTGTTTCAGTTCTTTAGAAACTGTAAAACCAATCTGTATCATGTACCAAACTGATTTAAAATAAAACTACATGTTTATTGAATTCACCAGCTTTTTACCTCTTTGGACTGTGAAATTTCATGCTAATGAATTTACCTTTCCTGTCTGTTTGAGGATGGTTGTCTATTTATTTATGTTTTCACTTCAGTGTTTTTGGTCCCTAGGAATTAGGATTGATTTAAAGGTAGTGTCTAATAATCACCAAATGGTCTGGATATTTCTTTTTCTGTGATGAACAGTCGCTCTAGCAAATGATTACAGATCCCTTTGGAAAATGTTGGGAGAAGATTTATGATGTACACCTGCAGTAGTTGTGTAGCGTCCTTCCTCAAGGGTAACCTTTCACCTGCAGTCAGTGGTCTGTAAATTGACTTAGATCTGGAATCTGAATATGAAACTATGAATCTCCACCTTGCTGACTCAAGTCAGGTTTCAGCTATCGGAGTTTTTCCCATGTAGATCAAGAGGCACTCTAATAGGCTGCCTATATGATTCCATTGATCACAGAAATATCTGTGCCAAGACATTTTGAATACTAATACATCTCTGCTATTCTCTGTAGTAGGTATATGCACTTTGTCTGACAGTTGGCTTCTGCTACTCTGAGACTGCATCATCACCATTGAAATAAGTATCACAACAGAAAAGCTTGATGAGATTGTGAATTCAATTGTTACTGTAATTTAGCATTCTGAACTATTAAAATTTGGGCTTGTGACTACCAGAAATGAAATATTTTAAAAGGCTATTGTGCAAGCTCTCTAGTTTTCAGACCATGATTTGAGTTGAAGATTAAAGGACCAAGGTTGTCATTTCTTCAAGTGCTGAAGTGCATTCTGTCACAGGAGTAAGGGCCCTTAGTGTGATGAGTCAGGAGCAATTTAGGCTCCCAAGCCACATGCTTCAGCAGGTACTTCATTGCAGTTCACCATGGGTGATAGTGTGGTTGTCTTGCTGCTGTGTGCGAAGAATTACTAGCACTCAATTGTCTGTTGGCAAGGAGCACAGCACAGTGCTCAAGCTCAAACTTGCAACCAAACAAACCCCATCTTTGTGAATCTGTTTGCTAAGACTACTCCTGTTGTAAATCTCTATTTGTGGGCCAAACAGGAGGCAGAAACCACAGTAATCAAACAGGGAAAGCTTATTACAAAGAAATAGTAACTCTAACAAGAGCTTGAAGTAATGGAAGGACTGGCTGGTAAGGAATACAAGGATGGCAGATTTAAGGAGCAGCCACTATCCAGGCTTTGTGCTCAGACCTCATCGGAGAGGATGTGGCCAAGATTCACTGGATGATGGTGAAGCACCCGAAGGATTCCAGAACCTTTCATAGGAAGTACCACCCCAGTGGCACTTTCCCATCAGGCTGTGTGTACTGCTGGTGCTACGCACTGCAGAAGCTGCATGCACTATAGTAACTTGATGCTGCAGAAGGCATGTGCATTCCCGAAACTTTCCTAGGAGAGCACCTCAGACCTAGGAGAGAAGCCCTTCCTCCTACAGGTTTCCTCCAGCTCGCTACCGACAAAGGTAAAGAAGAAACACGTATGGGGTCCAGATTTATTATTTCACAGTAGATAATTAGGGATGAATTTCGAATTGAGCGGTAATAAATTGGTGGCTGGTACTGTAACTTGCCATTTATAATTTTCCTATCAGAGTCATCAGTCTTACTCTTTGCTTTTGTTTTTTTATATTCTATTTCAGAAGTCCATTTTTTTAATATTTTATATAAGTCTTACATCATTTTTCATTTTTTGCACAATGTATGCATTTTCATTTTGCTTATATTCCCCATACAATTGCACCCCCCCTTATTTTGACCCTAGTCCTTCCTCTCCTCCCCCCCCCCCCACCGTAGTGTGTTTTTGGTTTATAGTTGCTTGTTGATTTTGATTTTTACTTTGTATTAATAAGTCTTCTTCCTGGCCCCTTATTTAGGTTTTCTGAATTCCTGTTATGAGTGAGACCATCTGGTATTTTTCTTTTTCTCTGAGCATGATCTATTTCTCTGAGCATGATCCCTTCTAGCTCCATCCATGTTGCTGCAAACTGCATGTGTTTATCTTTTTTGATTGCTGAGTAATAGTCCTTTGTATATATGTACCACATCTTGATCCAGTCATCTATTTTTGGGCATTTGGGTTGTTTCCATAGCTTAGCTATTGTAAATAGTGCTGCTATAAACATAGGGATGCAGAGGCCCCTTGGAATTAATGTTTCTGTGTCACTTGGGTAAATACCTGGGAGTGGAATTGCTGGACCATATGGAAGCTATTTTTATATTCTATTTCAGAAGTCTATATTCTATTTCAAATGTCTATTTTAGATATTTAATCAATTTGGAATTCATGTATCTCATGCAAAATGATTTAGTCTACTTCAAAAAAAAGTCTCCTTAAACTCAAAAAGCCTCATATAATATACATAAATTTTTGTATTTAAGTATTTGGCATATTGTTTCATGGTCTGTTCCTTTGCCAGAGATAGATTTCCTTGTCTGAATAAAAATAGTTGGATTAGGACATTATAAATGTCTGAGGAGTGTTTTGATAGTTATAGAAAAAATGAAGACTCTTAGAGAAGATGATGTTCTTAAATGAAACAAATAGAAATAAGTGCTGTAAATTTAATTGGACTAATCTCTGTTCTAGTTTTTCATATGTTAGAGATACTGCTAAGAAGCAATGCTCTCCTGGCTGTCCCATCTAATCAGTAACTAGATCCTATATTGAGAGGTTGCTGGTTGACCAGAGGCTAGGCTTAGGTTACAGAAGTGCATACCAAGTCTGATGTTTTAAAATCTAGGGCCAAACTCAAGTTACAGGCCAAAAATGGGACATACAAGATGTAATCATTTTAGTTATTCGATACTGCCTTCATAGTATTGCTAACAAAAATTAGATAACAAGGTTTAGAATCATTTTTATTTATTCAAATGCTCATAGAAATAAAACTTGGGGGAAAAAGGATATATGATTACCAGTCAAGTTTGAATGGGATTCTGGATGGAGCTGTTTGAACTTGAAAAGCTGAAAGTTGAACACTTTCTGCTACGTTGGGTAGGAAAACTTCATCAATCCTTTTTTTGTGTTTAGTAGGTACCTGCAATATAAATATTAATTAGCTATTTTAAAGAATAGCTGAATAATTACTGTTACGACATCATCACAAGTTACTGGTGTGACCAAGATCACTGGTTCCGTCTGGATAGACTTGAGTTAGGCTAGTTAGTGTGCCCTGTACATACTTTACCACTTGTCATAAAGAGAATTATCAAGAGTGACTCCATCAATGGAAAGCCATTTCCAGCTAAGGAAGAAACAAAATCTTTAATATGAAGTAATCTAAAAAATTGTGTTAGTGCAGTGCTCTTTTCTAGATCATTGTATTATTTCTTTCCAGTCATGTATAGATTCTTCTTCAGTTGCTATTTATCTGACTTACCTTGCATTCGTCAGAGCATAGATCGGAAGAGGCTTCAACTAATTTTGTGCCTTTCCTGGACCTCACACATTTTGCTTGGGGTCTCTTTACGTAAGTCAATGGGCCCTCAAGACACTTCCTGATAGATAATTATTATTAATGATTAGCCTTATACCAACACCCTTCTAAATCTTTCAAATATAGTAGATTGCCTCTAAAACATTATATTACAAACTATTATTTACTCTTAATATTCTCAATTATAAGCATTGTGATCACCACCACCCTCAATCCGGTGGTTGGAACATTGACTGAGGAATGGAGTAGCGATGAAGTGGCTCTTAAAAGCTCTTAGAGTTCCACACATACCAAATGAATGTTGCTTCCTTTGAAAAGGTTTTTGTAGACATAGACATAGTAGAATTTCACCTTTTAGTGAAATATAACTGCACAAAAACTAGCAAGTCAAGCAAATAGTAGACATTAATAACAGCCTTATTTAAATGATCTCAATTGAGTGTTACTTCCTTCTGTGTGTGCGTAACTACATGTTTAGAAATAGTGCAATAAACTTTTAGTCCAGTAACTGAGTCCTTTAGCTGCAAAAGCCTTAGAATAACAAATTTCCTCTAATGGAATGATCACAATGTCCCCTTTTTTCCTCAAGAGAGGAGGAATTCTTAAGCGTGTTAATTAGATATGCAAACCCTGCGAGGAGAAACAAGCACTTAGTAAAATTACTACTGTAATTCTTATTACAGTAGAATAGGCAGTGGAGAGGATGTAAAGGTCATTTTACATAGTCTAAAAGCTGAAATATAAAATATTTCATATATATGCTGCCATTCAACCTCATTTTCATTCCAAGTATTTCATCAGAGGGTATGTTTTTCACGTTTTAAGACTTCTAAAACTTTCTGCTCTGCCAGGGAACTCAGAGAAGGGATCTGATGCTGCTTGTTAATTACTGTAGATGACTGAGAAAACAAACAAACAAAAATTTAAAGACAGAACATAGCAAGGTGTTGTTACTGACTTCCATACCCATTAATTGAGTTGTAACTGAGTAGGTACTTTTGGACTAAATGTTTCAACGTCAACTAAAGAGTGACACCAACAAGATGTTTTTGTCAGCAAGATGGAGAACAGGAAGCCTTGAATGCTTGTTTCCCTGACAAACACTGACTCAGCAATAATTCATGGACAAGTTTCCTTTGTGAGAAATCCATATCCATACCCAAAGCACTTAGACAAGATACTGATCTATAATTTTAACCCTTTGCACTCCAAACCATTTTACGATATTTTGATTTAATTTCTTGTGCCATTTCAAGATAAAACTTCAGGGAAACATGCATGTCTCAAAAAGTTGCGTTGAAATAACCTCAATTCCCCGTAATCACTAATAAATTGCAATGTCCCCTGAGAGGGGATATCCGAGTGATATGCTAGAATTCCGATGTCCCCTGAGAGGGGACAGCGGAGTGCAAAGGGTTAAAGGTAAATTTGAAGTAGCCCTAAAAGTATAACTTTGTATTTACATTTTATATATATGATCAAATTTATCATTACTTACAGTCATTGGCCTTTGAATCTTCCTTGTAAGATTACTCTTTAAAAGATGTTGCTGGGGGTATTTGGATGAGGTGG